TTATGGTGGCCAATTTACCATTTCGACTTTGTTGATATCTTCAAATTATTTCATTACCCCCACCGACGCAGCCTCAAACAGTTTCTTTCGAAACTATCAGCCTTTGCCCACCACAATACTGATACAGTTGGGGATTCAATACCATGGCTGGCAGCCACTGCCCACTCTTTTCATTAACCCATGAATCTGATTCCATACTTCTTTAATTTTAACTCACCTTTTTTAAAGATACACCCAGTGGGGTGGAGGAGGGGGGCAGGGGGGAGAGAGCTTAATAGAACTCACTGATATCCTGAAGCAAGGAAAAGGCAATGTCTTCCCAAAGTGAGCAAGACAGTGACCCTCGCAAGAAGCTTTTATTACTCCCTGCTGTGCCCCAAGCTGTTCTTAAGCTTCTCTCGTGCTCTCCAAACTTCCCATGTGCAACCATAGTTCCATAGTCATATCCTTAGCATGAACCATTTTAATTGTTAAAAAACTCACTTTTCTAATTTGTTGGATGTTCAGGACAAGATCTGTTCACCTGGAACCAATTGTCAATACAACTGAAAAACAAAGTAAAATCACAAAATTCTTATAGGTGTTCTGAAAGTGAGTATAAAAACATATAAAAATGTTCCATAACATAATATTCTAATTTTTTTTATTGGATTGAAAAATATATGTTGTTAATGAAAACAAAAAAGAGAACAAAACCAATTAAGAAACATTCCAACAGAAATCTCACTTTTGTAAAAGTATCTCCGTTCTTAATTCATACCAAAAGCAGAATCGATTGAATAACATCGGTGCCTTTTTCAACCAGCCTTATATCTTGCATTAATAATTATTTCATTTCCTAAGAAGAACATGGTGTATACCTCTTATGATATATACACAAACAAGGCAGCCTTGCTATAGTATCACCTGCCAAGAAAAGTACATAAATAAACAAATGAAAATCCAAGAAAGGTGTAAAGAAATTTTTCTGAGGGAATTAATACAAAAAACTTTCATGCAACACACTATAATGGTAATAACTAAAAACCTTCAACCTCCTGACTACCTCAAATAGTCAAACAAGACTTTGCTGCCAGAACCCTGTGATGAAGTCTGTTTTCCAAGCCAAATTTTAATTGGAATATTGGACAGAAAACAATCACTTAAAAGAACATAAACTGGACATAGCTTTTGACTGGTATGAGAATTAGCAGGATTAACAAAGGATTGACAAAGTTTTTCCTTCATTTTCTTTATATTCTACAAATTGACCATTGCTCTTCAAATGACCACAGTATGCTTGTTTTTGGCAGAGCCTTAAAAATGTTATCTCCATTGCACTTGTAAAATTAGCAATTTCATGACACATATTGATTTGCAGTTCACAAGAAACATTTCATACCTATACTCAAGTCTTCCAGACATATAACACATTCTCCATTATCTTGTTTGAGCACATCCTCTAGAGAGAGATTAACAAATTCATGTTAAGAATAATTCTAACCCATATTCCGAGTCAGTGAAGTAGCAGGCTTTCAAAACTACGAACACTCTAAACCCTTGAATGCCATAACTTATCAAATAAGCAATGCAGTTTTTTAATAGCAAAAATTGGAAGGAGGAAAAAAGGTTCACTTGCCATGACTGTTTCAACAACAATTAATAATTAGATGCAAGTGCAGTAGGCTTGTTGGCTGGAGTCTGATACGCCACAGGTACACAGTCACCAAACCAAACCAAAGTCAAAATGGTGGCATCAATAGTCCCACTTTCAACCCATTTTAAAATAATTTTTGAAAACGTTTTTTGCGTTGTGGAATGTCAAAATACATTCATACAGATAGTCTTAATTTCATGCTCTACGACTGATGGGTAAAAACTGGTAAGGTTCTGGAGGATACTTGTCCTTTGGGAGAAAAAATGATCTGCTCTTCATTTTTGCTACAAAGGTGATAAGTTACCTACTGTACTGCAAACCAGCAAATGTATAGTATCAAAATAATAATAATAACTCAAATTAAAGCCATTTATTGTGAAGAAAAGTTCAGACATGGACTACATGTCTGACCCAAACTACTCCTAATCTTTAACAATTTTTCATTTCAGAAGGTAGTTTGAGTAGCAGGTTCTGTTGTAGCATGTTTATAGTGTGGATTTATTACTGCAATGACTGGTTCTACACCAATCAGCATAAACATCAATTTATGAAAGTGAAGGCTCTGAAAGCTTTGAATAACTGTACTGCATGTTTAATAAGTATTGAGGGGCAGAGAATTCTCCAGCTTAGACAAATAATTCCCTGGCGAGATATCAATGGTGTGAGCTATTGTTCATTCAGATTTGGAGAACATTTTGTTGTTTCTTTTGGCCAATGTCCTGCTAGTGCCTTTCCTGGTATTTTTTCAATAACCCAAACAAACCATGGCCATTGGCATAAACAGACTTTTATTATGACTTTAGGAAATGGGTTTTATCTCAATTTCTTTCAAAGGATAACAATTCATGGTTCAATTTTTGAAGCACAGGTTACCCTTCTATCACTCATTGTCATGTACACCTTCATGTGCACACATGCCTGAGTAGGATATTTTAGCGCCATATGTTATCTCTGCAGACTTTAATAGCTTATTTACATAGACTGTCTAGTTTCACTAGATTATAGACACTGCCCTTTAAGAAAAAAAACTTGTCTACTCCAATCACAAAAATAGGCTTCCAAAATAAACATTTAAAGCAAAAAGAGGAGCAGAGATATCTAAAAGTGCACTTTTGACATTTATAATAAAAAAAAAAATTGCATTGCCATGAATCAAGACATGACTCAGATCTTGGTGGACCAAGTAAAACTTCTATAACAAAGCCATCTGATCAGAAGAAAAAATTAAAACATGTCCTTACTGGCTAAGTGACATAATTCAAAAGCCATATGATCCGAGAAAAAAAAGTAAAACATGTCCTTACTGGCTAAGTAACATATTCATAGGAGCACAGTACGTTCAAGAATAAAACAAAATATTGCAAAATTACAAATTCACAAAGCGAAACGAAATTGAAATATTAAAAATAACAGATACTATGATATCTCTGAAACAGATAATCAATGATTTTTGAGGGTGTAAAATTTACAATTAGGAAAAAATGAACGCGATTGGCTTCAACAATATGTAAATGAAATGATTAAAATACAATGTGTACCGTAGGAAAATTTACTTTAAGAAAATAGCCATAAAATTTAAACCTTTACTAAACAAAAAGAGTTACATACGTTACAATATCAATTTTCATATTTCTTCAGTTGTGGAAAAAAATTTGTATGATTTTACCACTCGTTCGAAGGATATATATTACATACTGTAGTAATTAAAACATTACAAAAAATATAATATACATCACTCAACACATGTGAATTCACCTGCGTTGAAGATAGGAACAATTTTCATAATTTTTTATACAAGCCTCTTCAATGACGGTGGTGACCGAGAAAGATGAATAGTTTAAATAATCGCATATTCAAGGAACCATGGTTATGTCATCGAGTTTGAACTTTATCAAATTGAATCTACAAAGAAAATGATCGATTCCTTTCGAATTCGAACAAAATTGTTTGTTTGTTTCTAAAAAGAAATATTTATTGCGAAAGTTTCTGAGAAATGTGGAAATACTGTATGAACCATTGTTACGCCCGGACCCACAAATTATAATTCTGAAGTGGCAAGAGATTTCAGCTGACAGTGACAGACAACAAATTGCTCCATGGTTCTCGTGCCGGACAACAGTTAACTTTATGAACGCAATTTTTAACATGTTTGAGATCAGACGAATCAAAAGTCACTAAAAACTTACCGTTGTACGTAATTCGAGGCTTGGTGAGGCAAATTACCAGATGAAGCTCAATATCTTCAGCCAAAATTACTTTCGAGCAGACGGGACATTTCACCCCTACGAAGAAAATTTAATCACCAAGCATGGTCGCGTTCAAATTGCACGAATCGTCAAAACGACAAGATTAAGCTTTAAACTGAAAGTAAATACTCTCACATCCCCCAAATAGCCGACTGATTATCGTCTTTGGCCAAATACTAGCCAATCTCGAAGGAAAGGACTATATATTTGATCTTACCATTTAGAAACGTAGTGTAAGCGAACAAATGCGAAGGGAGAGAGTGCGCTCCCTGCAAGGCAAGTCCTCGCGGCGACGGAGAGTTATCCTCTGGAGAAGAAGACAAATCAGACTCCTGAAAGGAAGCCGAGTGGTCAGGAATCGATAACGAATGTCCAACATTGTTTAATGAACGAGTTCGTATTCTCGGATCCAGCGCAACAACCCTTGAAGTTTCCGGTAAGCCGGCCGTCGCAACGGCAGCTCCGTTGCCGACGTTGCGTGCATTTGTTCGCCCATTGTGGCTTGATTGCTTCGCTCCCATAATATTTAATCGCGTCAAAAATTCCCAGAGAACCTAAGCTGCCTTTGCAGCAGCAAGAGAGAGCATTTACATTGTATTCTCAAGGAGAGAAAATGAAACAATTATCTCCTCAGCCCTCATGTTCCCTTCTTCGCGATGTTTTTGTTTGGAAACTGTTAAGGAGTTTGGCTGCAATGCCTGATGGGATGTTTCTTTTCGTCACGCCACAAGATGGCGACCAATCGTGAATCGTTGTTCGACTTCCCTTTCCTCCTTTCAGTTTCTCGTACTTCGTCTACACGAATGCTAGACTGGATCATTTAAATTTTCATTTTCCACAAGAAGAAGCCCAAACAAAGACATCTGCTAAGCTGAAGTTGAAATGAAGAATTATAGTATATATGTACCCCACTGGCTTTAATCTATCTAAAGTAATAGGTTCAGTCAAGAAGGAAACTAGCCACAGGACTCGCGCGTGTACGGACAAAGCCGTGTGTTCCCTAAGTCACGAGTTTTCGATCTGCGTCTATTATTCCACGATATTTTTTTCCATCCTTAATTTAGAACTGGCTTCAGATAATCAGCTGACTATCATTTCAACTCGCCTCTCCTTCTCACGTGTTAAACAGCCATGAATCGATGCGACCTTGGCTTAGGTAAGACAAACTCGTGCCCACGCCGTGCACAGCAAGCTTTATTTTTCGTGTCTCTTCATTCAGGATTCGAGAGTGATCGAAATGAGTGATTTAATAAACACCCACACTGGCCGTGCAGTATGCGAGAAATATGCGTCTGCTGTTGACTACACGTGAGGTCAACATGACCGGATATCGTCCGTTTTTTGTTTTTGTTTTGTTTTTTCAATTTTTATAGAACAAGACGATACCAAGGACTATTTTGACGCAGAAATTAAAGAGGCCAATAGCAAATCATTTTGACCGGCCGACTGGGTCAATAAAGGATCTATTACAGGGCCAAAGATTACACCAATGAAATACAAAAATTATCAATTGACGGAACTCGTCATTGCAAAAAAGAAAGTTCCAGTATCAAAAATAAATTCATGTCGATGTGATTTTAGAAAGACTGGATGTGATTTAAATGCAACGTCTCGTTTTGTTTCGGCTCTGTTACCTGAGACACCTTGGTTTTATTATAAAGGCGAGACAAAAGCTTGACGAACGACAATTTCTGACGCTGTTGGGAAACTCATACCTGTTATGTCATTGTCATGTGTTCTTCTATAGAACGCTTTACTCTTATAGTGCCTCTCTCGCCCCAGGAGAGCAAACTTTTGGAAAAACCTAGCCCCTACGGCTTAGATCACCGAGTTAGTAAGCTACCCTCAGCTACTATATTCAGACTCCCTGGCCGAAAATAAGAAAACTGGGTGGAAAAAATAAAAACCACTATAAACAGGTGACTGCGATCTGTGAACTGGAGGGGAGGGCAGTCTAAGTAAATTCCTAGAGAAGCTAACCTCCCATTAAAGGAAATGGAAAAATGGCTGTCGCTCCTCAACCTGTGCGATCGGGCTTTAACGTTTTGATCAGCAGTTCAACGAAGAGATTTATTAATATCTCATTGCTAACTATTCTAGTGACCAGAGTCTATCTTTTCAGGCGGGATTATCATAACACAGGATACGGAAATGCAAACAGAACATCCACTCCCTTTACAAATAACGCTCAAAATGTCCCAAATGTACTATTCGTCAAAAGAGTGGAGGCTCCCCATAACAAAAGTCAATAATTGAAGTAAAAAATCACTCCCTTCTCATTAATTGGAATGTTATTTATCCAACACGTTGGGCCAATGGCCTAAGCATTAAGAGAGAAAATTCAAGTCACGGATTTCCAAACTATTCAAACTTCTTCCGTCATCGGTCTGATCTTCAAAGCAATCATCAGATTAACTTCCATTGTCTCATAAAGCCTAAACTGCACGACCGTTACAAGCAAAAATTTTAAAAACGTCGGTAACCCGATTGTGACTCTATTCAAAGTTTTTGAAAGACTGATCTGCCCACGAAAGCAGACATATTTCCTGTTGTTGCTTCTTTCTGCCGCTCGACAGAAGCGAAAACAGGAAACGCGTCTAGGATCGTAGCCCAGAAAGAGATCTACTGTTCTGCATTTGAAATCTACCAACTAAACACACTGATTCCCCGCCTAGATTGGATGAAACAAATCTGCGAACAGGGCGGAATTTAAATGGCAGGGTAATACACTTTTTAACGTTCTGAAGAAAGGATAATGTTCTCAGTCTTTGCCTTTTGAAAAATTCAGTCTAAATTCATCCGCAGGGGCCTGAATTTTTATCAGGCCTTATTTTCAATACTGCTTAGAGTGCCCATTACTGCGAAGATCGCTTTCATATTCATCTTAACTCATCAACTTGAGTTCGCTTCGTGCAATTATTGACCGTACTCGTTCGCTCCTCCTTTGCAAATTTTCTGGCTTGACAACATTCGTCTTCTCTTTTTTGTTTTGCACTGCCTAATCTGGTAAATCATATCGAAGTATTTTCATCACTTCAGAGCAAATTTCCTCAATTCTCGAGATGTCTGAAGCGCTCAGTTCTTGTTCCCAGGCTTTGACCATTCTAGAGCCGATCAATTCACGCGAAGAACCCAAACCAAATTCCTCAGTCTTAACGACTGTGAGTAAGCGATGTTCTGCAGCCGGCGAAAAAGGAACACCTACAAAGCGAGAAAGTTCCTCTGCCGTTTTTCGAGGTTTTAGGATTAGGTCTTCTATTTGAACAAAGCGTATACCTCCCATTTGAAGGTGCGCATTGGCATGCAGAACCGCTTGAGTCTGCGCAAGCCAGAGATAGGCAAGAAAATGCACGAGGGTTTCTTTCTCGTTCTTATCGTTATGTTCTTTGAGTACTTGCTGCATCTCTAGGAACTCAGGCGCGAAATTTGACATATTCGTCTCTGCGCACCTGAGAGCTTTAATTGTATCAAAGGCGGTGCGGACAGAAGTGCGAAGTTTGGCATCTACGCGAATTTCTCGAAGCCACGCGTTCACCCACCCTCTCGGGTCTCTAACCACGACTATGGCACGCATTCTTTCCTTCACGATCTTTGATAACCACGAGAACTTCAGACCCCACGCGGGGTCCGAAAGCCGGACAGCTGGAAGAGCCTTGTGGAGCTTTTTGGGTAATTTGGGTAAAACTCTTTTCGGGTCTTTAGCAAGACCACGAAACCATTTCCGATCTCGAAGCGCTTCAGATGAAAGGTGAAAACGATGAAAAGTAGAACACGGATCCAAAAACTTTGACGCACCTCTCCCAACTTCTACATAGAAGAAATTCGAAGAGTTTTTAAACAAGTGTCTTAGTATTTCAGAGCCTGCTAGAGGTAGAGACGTGAATAACACAAACGGTGGAGTTTCTACTGATTCGGAGAGAACACGACCTGCGCGGGAATTTCTAAGCATTGTGGGTATTTTGAAGTCACATCCCTCGTCTACACAAAAACCAACACAAACAGCTGTACTCGTTATTAACCATGGCACCCCGAGACAAATGACGAGCAAATCACAGATGGCTCTTCGAAGAATCTTTCGTCGAAGTTGTAAGTAGAGAAAGAGCAACAAGATCGAAACAGTAAATGGTAGGAACAAAGAGGATAAAACATTCCAAGTTGTATGCGAGTTACTCTCACTTGGGGATAAAATTAAATCTTTCTCCTCTCCGAACGACATGACATCCAAACCGAAACGCAGAGTCTTCTTGCCGATCTCAACCTTGCAGTATCCTCCAAAATCTAAGAATTTATATCTAGAGTAAGGTTCATTATGCTTTGTTGCTATGGAAACATTATAACCAACTCCATTGACTGTCACCGAGAGCTTCACTCCATGATCATGCCCAGTCACTATTTGTGGGAGTTGGTCTACTTTATGTCCAGGGCCGAGAAATAAGTACGCAGTACGTGTATATCGTACGTTCAACGGCGTTGTTATATTAAGGTAATGCGTTCGAAAGGAATGGAAGCTTGACGAGTAACTTGTCGAGTTGGCAAAACTCTTCTGATCGGTCCCTAAGTTAGACCAGTAAACTCTGTTCAAAAGTCCCTCTATAGAAACAATAGCATGGGGTGTTGTTGACATGTTTGCATTGACTATGAAAGGATGGTCCACGTTATGAAAGAAGGCGCTCATAACAGATGCTTGACTGCCTATTTTGCGTTCAATATGATCAACCACTAGGAGCGAGCTGGGATTCAACATAATTAGGGAACGATATACACTAAGAAGGCCCAGTTCTTGTCGATACCAACCACTCATCTCTCCGCTCATAAAGACCATATCATCTTCACTTGACGCTGATATAACATCTCCCTCGGCTCTCCAAGCTTCCATTGTTCGAAAATTAATCCACTTGTTGCACTCTCCTATCTGCCCCTCAAAGGGCTCGTAGCAAGATGACTTCTGAGACGGCCCGAATACTAAAGCATTATTAAGGAAAGTGTACTTGTAGGCGTAGTATGTCTCTGTAATGAAGGGTACTCCATTTGGGGCAAACACAAATGACCCTTGGTCCGGCTGCTCATGGCCAGGGTTAAAGCCTCTCCATCCTTGTGGCAGCCATGATCGAACACGTTTTGTTCTAACAAGAGAGTTTATCGCCCGTCCGTGGAGCACCCCACACTTAAAGGAAAGAAACGTTCTCTTCTTACCCCAGGGACTGGCCAAGTTATCACCGGGAGATATGTCTAATCCTCCCCCGTAAGTTACTACTCCCCAGTCGCTAAACACGTGCAGTCGAGGCAGGCTTGGGTTGGGTAGTGCTCTCTCCTGAATATCAGGATTGTACAATAGGAACTCTGTGTGAAGCATGCTTCTTTGTTGTGAAGCCGCTTGATTGTAGACTTTCACCTTTGCTATTTGAACCTTGCGCTCTCTAATCTGTCTAGCCAGCCAATTTCCCAAGCCATTTCTCAAAACATAGTTGTCTAGGAAAACTAGCTGGCTTTCAGGGCCGTAAAACCAGTTCCGATTAGAGTCGCCATAGCCAACAGTTTCCTTGAACCCTGGGAGCACCGTATGGTAAAGAAACGACGCGTGCTCTTTGAGCCAAGGAGATTGCGTGACGTCTACGCGAAAGTGGCGTAACGCAAGGAACACATACTGCGTTAGTGAACGTGTTGTATAGGTGCCATACGCGACGCCTTCGTTATTGGAACCATCCACAATGAAGTTAAACAGCTCTAAGTTTCTACTTAACATTAAATGAGCTCGTGACAGCCATTTCTCCCCCTCCAAGAACTTGTGTCGGGCGACAATCAAGGCGCCATTAAATATCGCCATATAGTTTGTGGCTACGTGATTTTGAAGATAAGTAGATCCCCACCAAAGCTTGAAAGATCTTTCGTACAATTCCTTTGTAACTGCCGTTATATTCCCTAAGAAGCGAGCTCTTTGAGCGTCGTTTAAACGCGTGTACAGAAAGTCGTACGCTGTCGCCATGCCGGTTAAAGAGTGGGCTACGGGGACATCGTCATGGAATGAAGCGGCGACGCGCCAGTTGGGAAGATTGGAAAGCCGCTCCATAAACAGAATAGCAAGCTCTGTCGCATTGATATCCTGCGGATTGAGAACGCAATGGAAAGCTAACGCAGTGAGGTGATTGCCATACTCCTCGTTCCAAGCACTAGAAAAAATTTTCCACTCCTTAGGCGGTAAATAATATTCAGGTCGATGTTTAATCTCTTGACTGGCTAAGTAGATCCTTTGAGATATTTCAGCGTGAGTAGTTCGTGCGCGTTCGTGAAGGTTAGGGATGTCATTCTCGTTGAAAAACAAAAATGGATGAAGCTGTTCCAAGTCATTCGAGGAAGCTTTGTGGGAAACAATAGCGACAAGTGCTAAAACAATTCTTGACGAGAACGACATCGCATTATAGAAAATAGGCCAGTCTTCACTGATAGGGAATGCAGGGGTCAGAGGTCTTCGTATGCTTGGGATATCCGTTCTCCGTGATGTCCCTCACGCCTTCTATGGAGGTCTGTTGTGGTTAAAATTGATTTATTTATTTTGCAACATGTAAATCTAAGTTTTCAGGTTTTAAAAGAAATGTAGGCCCCGTTCAATTAGGAAAGTGCGAACGGTCGAGTCTGGATTCAAGCTAAACTTGATTCGAGATGGACCTCGAGTTGGAATACGAGTTGGACTTATTTAATCGAAAAAAAGAGGGTGTCACGAAACCTCAGACCTTGAAACTGGCAAACCTCAGACAGGCAAAATACTCAGACCCCTAATTCTTTCTTAACGCGATTTCGAATATAGTCGAAATGTAGTGTGTTCAACGCGAAATATAGTACTCCTTTGACTTGCAATAGATGTGTCTGTTTCAACGACGGACCGTACATCTCGAAACAGTGCATCGAGTTATCGCATTTTTTGTGAAGTCTGGCAGCTCAGTTCGGCGTGATCATCAGCTGAGAAAAATCTAATTAAAAGTGGTAGCTGCCTATGGTAAAACAGTAGACAGTAGCGCCTCCTCTCAGGGAAGCGCGAACCGTCGAGTTTGGATTCAAGTTGAACTTCGAGTCGGACCTCGAGTTGGAATTCGAATTAAACAAATTTCAACGAAAAAAAATCAACAACAATTGGAACCAAATAAATGATAATTTCTCCCTCAAGAGGGTGTCAGACATCGAAACTGGCAAACCTCAGACAAGTGAAAGATTCACATTTCACAGTTAGATGTTTTGTTGGGTAGTATCGCTGAGTATTTTTACGAGTCGTGGGGCGGCTGTACACAGGCTAGACTAAATGTGTTTTGGGGGATACTTAAAACATCACAGCGGCCGGATATTCGTGTTATATTATAATCTCAAATATTTGGTCATGAAAATGTCATTCCCCAAAGTCCAAGTACTTCTAAAATATATGGCTGAAAAAATCCCACAAATGAAAGCTTTGAGGGCCGTGTATAACGTGAAATAGTTTATCAACTTGCGAAAGATTCACTTCGATCAGTATTCACTCAAGGTTGCGAATTGTCAAAGTCGCGTTATGCACTGACTGCTCCATAACATTACTGTTTCGTTTTGCAAATAGGAGTTGCTTTTCGGTGACAGAAATATTTGATAACAAGACTCGGAATTGGCAATAATTCCGTACGGTGATTTAAAAGTGCTAGCTTATGTTTTACACCAGTTATCAGAAGAATTAATAAGAGAGAGAAGTCGGTTTTTATAATCTGTTCGCTTACCTGAATCTGCTAACCTGAAGAGAGAAACCTGTTTTTACGACCCGCCACAGAAGTAAGTTTCCAATCACGCTTTTGGATTTTGCTACGAGATTAAGACTTTATTTGCGCTCTTCTGATTTCGAATTTTACATGTATTTCTTTTAGATCGAATAATTATTAAAGCTTGGATTAATATTATGCGGTTTGTTGGTCGTCTGAGCTGACCAGTTCCGAGTAAGGAAACAATTACTATGCTGTGTTTTTACGCAGCTCCGTTTTCCGGACCATATTTTACTATATTTAAAAGTTGATCACACTAATTTTGAAGTCGCACAAGCAATGGGTCTGAGTTTNATTGTGGGCTGTGTGTGCTTTTAAAGGCAGAAAATCATTGGAGCTACGGGTGGGAACATGGCAACGAGAAAAACACGAATTAGTGGAATGAAAAGCGTTCGTTGATCCCTGTGGGATTTAGACTGCCGGTTTGAAAGATGATTCCGTGCAAGATTTTCTTGTAAACTGGTTTCGTTCAATTATGTTCTGTCATTGTATTCAAGCATTTATGCTTATGGCTTTTTCTTTATTTGATTCGCTGACTTTAAAACTTCCACCACGATAGGAAATCATTGCCACTGTTGTGCCTTCACGTTATTCAGCACCAGTTCTGTAGACGAGACATATTTGCGAGAAGACTGGGTCCAGGCTAATAACTAGCTGTCAAAATGGCGACCAAGAATAGGTCCTCAAGGCAATTTTGAAGAACGGTCTCTTTTACTGTCCTAGTGCTAGGTAAATACTATTTCTGGATAAATGTAGATGGAAAGCACGCATGAATTTGTGGGTATGATCTTAGCTGTTTTCCATCTTTCAGTCGTTTTGTTCTGTAGATGCAATGTGTTCGTCATAGAGCTTGACTACAGGTCAGGAGAAGGTTAAAGTGGTGCTCTATTTTTTTTCTTAGTTTTATCGAGAAGTATAGTGTGTCTTAATCGAATTTTTATCATTATTAAGTTCTTAAGGTGGGGCTTGGTAAACGGAAAATGAATAAAAGGGATAAAATGATCGACAAGTTGAACTCTAATAATCCCCGAGACGAAGTCGAGGGGATTACTCGACAATATTCACCGAACCTGAGGCGAATAATTGTTTTAGTATTATTTCAGAGCTGAACAACAAAGAAATTTCTAAAATCATAACATTTTAGTAACATTTATTAACATTTTACTTTAAAATTTTATATAAACCGCGTGGAGCGGTATTTTGAATTGGTCATCGTTTAACCTCGTCCAATCAGAAAAGGGCAACCGCGTGAAGGTTTCTGGTTGGCACATGAGAATCTTGCTATGCATCCCGGACGCTCTGATACCGTGGGATTTTGATTTTCTTCAAGGGCTAGCTCCGGTCCGTTTGGATGAATTTTCGATTGGAAGGTACGAGGAGAATCGTGAATCTTTTGACCTTAATGCTACGAAGTTTGAAAGCGGAGTGATGCGATTTTCGGGGAAAAAATCGCTCGGGCGCTGGAAGTCTTTCAAAACAAGGATTCCACCTTAGTCTTTCTTTTAATACGTTACATTAACGACGAACTCAAACTTATTCAAAATCGCTCAAAAAATCATTTTTGAGGCAAAAGGACGACTATACACCACAGGTAAAGTAATTCGATGTTTATTTATCATTGATTTATGTACATAGTCAGCAATACATCACTATAGGTGAGGCAAACAGTAAATCTGGTACATTCACTATAAAATAACAATCGGCTTCACAAACAGATTGTATGGGCCCCTGTGGTCCACAAGAACCCGGACATTTTTGAGTCCGCAACTTTTTCGTCGCACATTGGCTTTCCGTCCACACGTATCCGATGAATACGGTTCATGAATCTGCAACTTTTGAAAGCGCTTCCCAGTGCAGTTTTTTTTTTTTTAATACGCAATATTGATTACGGCGTCGCATGAACGGTCGAATACGTACATTATTGAATACGCGTATGTAACGATATCAGATCCAGTCGTCCTCGCGCATAATTCGTGCCAATAAACGAGGCATCTTCTGGCGAAGGATATTGCTTAAGAAAGATGCGCAAGATATCAGACTACTTTGTCTGACATGATTCCTAGTCAACAATTTCGATAGTTTTGGTCGCTCGCACAACATCGTTAGTTTGAGCAATAACTCGATTTGAACCGAGTTCTGTCCAATAAAGGTCTCTGCTTTGCCTTTTGTTTATTCCTGTCCTGATTAAGACATCTTTTCTCGTGGTTAGCCAGTCTTTAAGACTTTCATGCGACTCGTGTTAAAACTTCTAGTAGACAAATGGAAAGAACACTTATAACCATCGCGGGCTCAAAGTTTTTTGATCGTGCTCATGCTCTGTTGGCGTAACCGTTGAGATATTCGGATACGTATCGGACACGTTTGAACGGACTAAATACGATCCGTGTAGACGCGAATTATTTTTCTTATCCACATCGAGAAAGCTGCGGATTAAAAAATATCGGAATATATGCGTGGACAGGGCTTAAGTCGATCTCAGAAGGGCTCAAGTTGTCGAGATTTATAATGGCTGATTTGAAAGGAATCACGTTTTTATCATTCTAACACAATCAGTCATTTTCCTACATTAGTTTGTTGTATAAGAGCTTTTCTTCTTTTATTCACTCTCACGTTTCACCCTCACAACCACTCAGTTAAATCCATCATT